GTGCCCGCGGGGCGGGTGGCGCAGAGAACCAGGCTCTCGGGGCGTCGCGGGGCTGCGGAGGCGGGCTGGGGAGGTGCCCAGCGAGGGGCGAGGAGGGCGAGCTCTGGGTGGATTTCGTGGGTACCATGAACGCGTTGCTGAAAATGGGGTGGTGAAAATGCGGGGATGCGGGGCTTGGGGGGGGGGGGCGTCTGCTGTGGACTCTGGGCCCGCCAGCCTGCAGGGAGCTGGGTAGGCGGGGCCAGCAAGGGGCCAGGCTGAGCGGGAGACCTAGACTTTGCATCGCCGCCCCCCACCATTTCAATGCCCTTCCCCTCCCATTGCCACCAGGAATCTGGGGAGGGGGCGGGCCTGAGGGCTGGAGGGTGAGAGCGGGTGACGAGGCCCTGCACCAGTGGACAGTCTACAAGTTTTCTTACGAGGAGGTGGGGCAGCCCCGCCCCTTTGCTCTTTGGCCCTTGGGGCGGTGGGCTGGGGGTACAGGATGTCCCCCCCGCCCCCAGTACTTTGCTAAGACATGGCCCTGGGCTAGCTTTGGGGGTGTCGGAGGCAAGGGACTGGTTGGGAGGAGGAAGGGGGCGGGCGCAAGGGGCGGGGGGAGTGGTCAGCGAGGGGGGGCAGGGTGGAGCCGGGGCTGGGCGGAGCCGACTCGGACTTAAAAGCCTGGCGCTGACCGGGCCTTGCAGCTGGACCTTCGCTTCTCCTGTGAGAGCTGTCCAGTCTCCTCTCTCTCTCTCATTCTCTCTCCAGTCCCGGAGTCTTCCTGCCCTACCACAGGTAAACCCCGGGCTGGTGGCCGTGCAGGACTCTGCCCCAGCGCCTGCTCCCGCGCAGCCTCCCTCCCAGGCTCCCGCTCCCTCTGGCCTGCCTGGCTGTTGGAGGGCACGGCCCCGGCCCAGCCGGCCTGCTGCCTCTCCAGCACCGCCCGCCCCCCTCACCCCTTCCGGTGGGGCGCCTCACTCCTGCGAGCCCTCCTTCCCTAGCGCTGCCTGGCCCTTCACCTGCGCCTCCTCGCCTGAGAACGGGGTGGGAGCTATAGTTCGAGCGTGTTCCGTGGGGCGGTGGAGGGGGCTCTGGGGGGCTGGCTGGGCAGGGTGTATCCGAGTGGGGATTGCTTTTTTCCCCTTGTGTCTCCTGGTCTCTGAATTGATTTGTTGCACCCCCTCGATGGTGCGGGGTGCCCCCCCTACTACCTCCCCGCCTGCTGCTGCAAGCAGCCTGGGAGGGTACTTCTGGGCATCCTGCCCAGCCCGGCTTGGCTTCTGTCAGCACGCTCAGGGGTCACCACCCAACCGGACCCCCACCCCTCCCTGGGTCTGTGGCCTCCCTTGGCCCTGCAGCCACCTAACCTGTGGGGTGTGTCTGAGGTGTCCCCCTCATTCCAGGACCTGGCATAGTGGCCCCCACGTTGTGGGGAGGGGAGTTGAGGGTGGTGGCATTTGGTCCTGAAAACTGGGGTCTGGAGGTTTCAGAGGGACTGTGATTGTGGCTGGGGTGCTGACGAATCCGGGGAAGAGGCCTCTGGCTTTTGTGCGCGTTTTGAGTTGGGGGTGTCTCTGGGTGCATGGCCAGGTCTTGAAACTAGCCATTGGCCCCATGGCCACAGTGCGGCTCCCGTGGGCAGAGGGTGGGAGGGGCCAATGGAGCTGAGCTGGTCCGGCAGGCGTTCTACTGCTGTGGGACTGGAGTGGGGGGTGGGGGTGAGGAAGGCTGACCCTCCAGGTTGCACAGGCTGGACCCCATGATGTCATATGCAGCGGGCAGGCCCTGCCAGGATGGCGGCCTCACGGGCCACGTGGCTGCTTCAGTCTCTGTGCGATCGCCCCTCCCCACTGCAGTGTGCCTTTGTGGCCCTGGCCCCCACGTTGACAGCAGCCCCTCCTTCTGTTCGCAGAAACCGATGGGGATCCCGGTGAGGACGTCGATGCTGTGGCTGGTCACCTTCTTGGCCTTGGCCTCGTGCTGCTTTGCTGCTTACCGCCCCAGTGAGACCCTCTGCGGCGGGGAGTTGGTAGACACCTTGCAGTTCGTTTGTGGTGACCGCGGCTTCTACTTCAGTAAGTCGCTCTGGGCCGCAGGGGGCGGCTGGTGGGTGGGTGGGGCTGGGGAGGAGAGGCACACACAGAGCAATCACACACGGCAAATGCTTCATGAACGTTGGCGTCACACCCTGTTCAGGGGAAGGCAGAGGGTACCGCCTTGACAGGGACCTACCAGGCTCCTTGCTTTGTGACTTGGAGGGAGTCTCGCCCCCAACCCCCAGGGACCATCTTGAGCCCCTGATGTGGGTCTGGCTCTGGGGGAACTCCCCACACCCCCGCCCCCAACAGCCAGACCCTGCACAGCCAGCACAGCCAGCACAGCCAAGAGGTCCTGGTCCCCCTCAGATCTCAGGCTCCCCAAAGTACCCTAACACAGTCTACCTGGACACAAGGCCTCCTGGGAACACTGAGATGCTCCCCACCCCTTCCTGAAGGGTCCACTCTGAGGTGGCCTGCGGCTGAGAAGTCAGAAGGAAGTGGACCCCAGCAGGGCGCTGGCCAATGGGCAAGGGTGTCAATCTTGGTCACTTTCAGTGGGAGCTAGGCGGCTGGGCTGGACTTGGCCACCTTAGAGCCTCAACTTGCCCACTGTGAAAGGGGCCTTCTGGCTCAGGACCCCTGCCAGCCCCTCTTCCACAGGCCTCACCAGGCTCTCCTGAAGGCCCCTACCCCTGCAGGGGGGATACCCCCCACTGATGGCACCCCCCCCAAGGCCAAGCAGGTGGCCCCATCTCCAGCTGAGCTGCCCTGGGGGAGGGGGAGAGGACGGGAGGAGAGTAGGGCGTGGTCTTATCCAACTTCCTCACTCCTCTCCTCCTGTCTTTTCTCCCCCGCCCGCCTGCCCACCCACCCGCCCAACGTCTGCTGGGACCAACACCTGCCCACTCAGACCATCATTCTTGTAGACTCTGCCCTGGGGGCTGGGGGCCAGAGGGGCATGGGGCAGACAGGATGTGGTCAGCGTAGACCCCAGGCCTTCAAGGCACACCCCACACCCCTTCTTCCTCAGGTGATCAGGGCAAGTCACCAGGGCAGGGCAAGGCAGGGGTGGGGTTTCCCACCTTCTCTGGGGCCTCAGGTGCTAACTGCCCCCGCCCCCCCTGTGCCTTCAGGCCGACCTGTCAGCCGTTACAGTCACCGTCGTACCAGGGGCATCGTGGAAGAATGCTGTTTCCAACGCTGCAGCCTGGCCCTCCTGGAGACCTACTGTGCCACCCCCGCCAAGTCTGAGAGAGACGTGTCGGCCCCTCTGGCCGGACTCTCGGTAAGCCCGCTCCTCTCCTCCCCCCTGCCCCTGCCCCTGTCCCCAGGGATGCCAAACCCTAGAACACTGCTCCCTTAGGGTGACCCCTGGGAGCTGGGGGGAGGATGAGGCTAGCCGTTACCTTCATTGATCAGATTCTGGGTCTCAATTGGCTACATCAACTGCCTGATCAGTTAGTATTTTATTGCAGATCAATCAGTTACATCAGCTGGCTGATGGGTTCTTGGTTTATTGAGTGTCAATCAGTTACCTCAACTGGCTGATTGATGGGTTAGAATCGTACTGAGCACATCAGTCCGCTGAACGGTCAGTAGTTTAGGAGGAGAGGGTCTACTCCAAACCTCCCGAGATGTGAGGTCCACAGTTGGGGTGGGGGCTCAGGTGCAGGGCCTGCAGGGCACCCCCACCCCACCCCCCACCCCTGACTCGACCCTTCCCCTTTCAGGACCAATCCCAATTACTCGTGGGCAAATTCTTCCAACACGACAGCTGGAAACAGCCTGCCGGACGGCTGCGCAGGGGCCTGCCTGGTCTCCTGGTCGGCCTGGGCAAGATGCTCCACCGGGAAGTGACCCAGGCGCTCAGGGAGACGCGCCACCCAGCCGTCCCTGTCACCGTTCCAGTCCGGGAACCTGCGGAAGACCCTGCCCGCGCGGAGCCCCCGACCCCGACCGCCCTTGAGAAGTGAGACAAACAGTAGCCTTCTGCGGACCACACCATCGTCCTCCACCTCCTCTTGACCATGGCCTGTCCATCAAGGCCACCTCCAAATCCCCTGGGCCATCTCCCCCCTGCGGGTCCCTCTATCCCAACCCCACTGCCCCAGCCCCCCCAGCCAGGCTGCTACCAACCAGCCCCTTCACCGGCTGGATCGTAACATCTGGAAAACAAAAACAAAAACCCTCAAATAATTGGCTTAATATATCCCCCATCCCCTAAATTACCCCAAAACAATTCCAAAGGACACATCTGACCCCCTAAAAAATTAAGACCACATTAATTGCAACCCAACCCATACACACTACAGCCCCCTACAGCTAATTGACTCTTTAATAACATCAGAAGAGTTCATTAGCATGCAAAAAGAAAACTAAAAAAAAAAACTTAACTCAATTGGCTACCCCCACCCCAAACAAAAAAAAAAACCTAAAAGACTAATTGGCTTAAAAACAATTGGCAAAAAATAACTAATTCGGCACCCCCCCTTCCTCTCCTTCCCCCTCCAGGTATCTGGGGAGGGAAGAAGAGGAAGGGTCGTGAAGCGAGACACGCCCTCTACCCCTGTGGCCTCCCCATCTCTCTTGTGCAGATTCCTCTATTGGGCACTCTAAATTCCAATTGGCAAGGACAGAACAACAGCACCCCAAACTCACTCTCTGCTCCTCAACTTTCTGAGTCCCGGGCCTTAAGTGAGGGATCCCAGTGGGACTTGGGGAGGGAGAGGGACCTGGAGACCAAGGTCAGTGAAACCATGTTTAATTGGCAGACTCTCAAAATGGAAACCCTAAAATGGACACATCTCTGAAACTTACATCATCACCCCCCACACATCCACACACTCACACATCACACACATACTCACACCACACCCACATCACACATTCACAACACACACACCCCCACACACACTCACATCACACACACACATCACACACATCCACACACACACTTTTATGCATACACTTGCACACATGGACACACACACGTCACACACTCTTGCACACTCACTTGCATTTGCGCAATGTGCCTGCTCACAAGGACACGCTTTCATGCATGCATGCACCCCACATACACACGCACCCATAGTCACACTCCTATGCTCATGCACACAGTCACACGCACCACCACACATGTTAGCGCATGGGCCAAGTCCCCTCACATGCTAGCACGCTCAG